TTTTTAACCACTGTGAAGTGTGTTAACTTAAGCCGATGCACTTATGCGAGATTCTATGTTGACTTTTTGATTCACTCAGTTATCACAAGAAAATTTTCGACAAGGAGATATAAGGGAGTGGCTTTTCAGTGCCCTCGAAAACGATTTCAGATTTTGATGAAAACTACCTTGAAATCTGTTCATGTCCAGACAACACTGAGTTGACCAAAATTTTAGTTACTTATTATTGACTAATTGGGGGGATGGATTTCTTTCATTTGTGAAAACAAGAAATGACTTGAACGGTCAAAGAAGTTAAATATGGAGACAGATATATATCAGTGATGTCAGATGAAATTCATACCGCATCACGAACTGACTGAATTTATTGAGAACAAGTCACTGGATTTCAGCTCAGTAGTTGAATACCATACAGCACATCCTGTACCTTTAATTTCCCATCAGCTCTGATGCCACCAGAACTGCGTAGCAGATGACGAGAAAACTATAATGTTTTCAAAAATCCGAACCCACCTTACCCATTTCTGACATCAGATGTTAATCGTCAGTCATTGGGTTAAAGGATCACTTCTTGTAGGATATGTAATATGGTATACTGTGGCGCAATATACTCAAATCTGCAGGCAGTTATAGCTAGTTACAATATACAAATTCTCTAGCTTCCCCTTTAAGTATTCGATTATTCCCTGTCTTCAGTAGCTTTATAAGTCGGAAGTGCTCATTCGTATTTATGCATTATGCACAGGCTGATTTGCTTTCAATTTACAATAGCTTCAGTGCAAAGTATTATCCTGAGTCTATAAACGTATTATTACTTACATTTTGTGCACAAAACATTTTTCATAAGATCCCAGTGATTCTTGTCGAGGATTGCTAGTTAATCATTTACGCGTACAATGTATGCAAAAAGGCTTCTGATTTCAGTATATCTCACATAGGCATTTCTTTTAATCATTTAACACTTTCATTTATTCAAAATGTCAGATTGGTTGGGAAGCGACAAAAGTGCCATTTCCATTATTCTCTGAAAATATTTTAGTGATCAAATACCGTAGGAAGGCTTATGATAGTAAAATTACTTGGTGAAAATAAAATTGTATTCACTGTCTTTCTATGTGTATAGTTATTTCTGTTAGGTTGAATCGTTTGACAAAATTTATGAAACTTTCAGTAGTTATCCACCTGACTAAAAGGAAACTAGCTGGCATCAGCTGGCCATACTTTACTATAAATGGTGAGTTCACTTTCGATTAAATCCTGCACCTGAAATCTCTTCTACACACTTACCTTACTTTGCCAAACACATGTGTCTTTTTAATTTCTCCTACTTGGTCTCCCATACCTGGTATCTTATGCAGCCTTAAGTTAAAAAAGAGGAGAAAATCATGAGGATTTATAAAGATCATTAGAAACCGTGTACACAACATTTTGTTTCGTTGTCAGTTACTTGTGGTTGTCTTGTTTCTAATTAGTGTATACAATGTTGTCAACCTAAAAAGAATGTCTTTTTCAATATGGATATCAAAATTCTTAAATTATTCTTATTCTTTTCAAGTCTGTCTCTTCAATAACTTGAAGTTTCTATATTCGTTGCCTTCATTGTTACAAGATGGCAAACAAATCATTTTTTTACTGTCATATTGTCGATAAACAAGTTACAAAGAAGAAAACAAGGTTTTTCTCAACCATTAAAAGATTTCTAGCCAATACTTTCTAAAACCCTAAGTTGTGCCTCGTTTAAGAATATATTTTTCACGTCTACATATTTGCTGAATTAAATGTATGTGCCTTCTGGAAAACCGCCACACTATTAGCTTCAATGATTTCAGTTTCTTTCATTTGACGTTATATTCAAGCGACGCAACTACTCTTTGTATTTTTCTTTTTTTAAGGATTTGTCAAGAAAGACATCTTAAAAAATTAAGAAAAATCAAAAAAACCAGTAGCATTAATAAATAAACAAATAAATGTAACCAAAATCTTAACATTCTGATGCATAATGTGAATGTGTTCAGTAAATATCATGAAAGAAGGATTACCTATATATGACTGCAAATTCACTTTTCCTTTCAATATTTATGGTTGTATGTTAAACTACAAATGTTTCATCCTCAAATCTTAATCATTCATAAATCGAAGATCTTCAGGAGAAGTAAAATTCACTAGGAAATCGAGGAGTGGCACACAAACGTGAACAGTGCTTCCGCATACTGAAGAGAATATAAGCCACGTTAAGTTATTGTTCTTGAACTTCAGTTCCAGTAAGAATCGAAACACTTCACCTTTTGAGCATATATTGTTCTGATATAGGTCTTATTGAGATCAAAATCACTCTCTTCTGATTATAAAAATAAGTGACTTTAAAGGCTGTGTGAATTTTTTTAACGTTTAGTAATAATCAAATGCTATGTAGTAACAATTTTATTGTAACCTGAAGTTTACCGTTCAAAGATTTCTTTCTTTAAGGTAATTTAAATTAAAAATTTAAAACAAAGTATATAATGTGTTCGATCTTGACAGCTTAACATCCTGTATCTCAGTATGTATGGTCTTTTAAACCGTTGTAGATACATTGATTGTTAACCTTAATCCAAAATATTTGATCACCTTTGATATCCTCTTTTTCTATCCATTGAAATAACTTTCTAAATCTGTCGATAGCTTCATTTTGTACAATGCAAGGTGTAGCATATTGTATCACTGTATTTCATGTGATAGGTTTTTGCCAGGCGAATATTAGCATATTTGTCAATTTCTGTGTTTAGAACTTAGGAATTTTTTTTTTCTCACCAAAATATATCATGAAGAATATTGCTGCTTTAATTGAAATTACCGCCGATCTTTTCACAATGGCCTAAATGCATTAAAACCTCGCCTGGTTAACTCAGTCACCAGTTACTATCCGGTCTTAAGCCTGGATAAAGACAGAAGGTTAGGGATAAGGCTAGCAATCCTACCCAGGAAAATCAATCCAATCGCTAAAGAAACTTCAAAGCACAAAGAAAATATAACACATAACAAACTTATTCCTTGCTGGAATCGGAGAGACGAAATAATGCCAGTTGATGAAAGCCTACGGGAAGCCAACTAACCGGTGTATCTTCTCTTCTCGCAGTGAAAGCGAAAGTAAAGATGGGGACATGGAATGTCCGAACAATGTTTGAAGCTGGTTGGTAAAGCTGCACAGATTGTAAAACAGACGAAAATATATTGTATGGAAGTGCCTGGAATCTGCGAAAGCAGATGGAATGGAAGCAGACTGTTTAAACTGTCAACTGATAGGTTTCAATAATCTACTCCGTCACCTAGACGACAACCAAGAGCACACTGAGTTTTTGACTGGCTATCATCATGTCTCCAAGAACATAGAGGGCTCTCATGCAGTGGGAGCCAATCTCCCCCTCCTGGATCACGACAGCTAGATTTAACTCAAAAGGAAGAAAAAACAATCATACAGTGCTATGCACTTACGAATAACCCGGATTATAAGAAGGATGAGGAAGAAGAAGATTTGAATTTCACCGATGATTTATGTTCAACGTCGCAGAAACTAGAATATCTACAGGTGAAAATCAACAAGTTGTCAGGAAAGGCGGGGCAGCGAAGACGGACTCAAAGAAAGAGTAGAGAAGACGGAGGTTATGAAGATACCCAACAAACAACAACAACAAGCACCAGTCACCCTGAACGGGAGAAACTGAAAGGAACAGGTCTCTTTTACCTACCTAGGTAGCATCGTTTCAAATACAGGTGGCGGCACATATGAGGACGTCAAAGCCAGGATTGGAAAAGAAATATAGGCCTTTATTAACCCGAAATCAATGTGGAGATCTACTGCACTCAGCACAAAGCGTGAGCAAGATCCGGATTTTCAACACTAATGTCAGTCAAGTCAGTGCTTCCATGTGATGGTTCAGAGACTTGACAAGGGGTGTTACGAAAAGCATTTCCAACAAAATGCACACATACATCAACAGCTGCCGCCTAAGCTCCCTCACTCGATACTGACACTGAAGATCAGATGGCCAGAATAAGAAGAATGAGCGACAAGGAACTCACTCTAGCGACGAACCAACCAAGAACCTCTCACCCAACAAATATGCAGAAGAAGTGGAGATGGATTGAACTGGACTGGACATATACTGAGAAGACCGTTTGGAGACACCACGTGCCAGGCCAGGCCAGGCGAGGCCCTGGAGTGGAACTCGAATGGGAACGACGAGTTGGTCGTCCGAGGGTGACGATATGTAGGAGATGGTGTGAGTAAGAAATGAAAGGTTGTGGGCAGTGATGGAGCCAGGTTAAAAAGAATATAGAGAAGAGAGTGAAATGGCGACGTGCTACTGATGCCCTATGTTCGACTAAGAATCCAAGGGACAAACAGAATATAAAAAAATAATTGTTTTGCAGCAGGTCGTTTGTTAACTTGCCCACCAAAAAAGCATATATATATATATATATATATATATATATATATATATGCTCAATACAGCCGTATCTTAGCCCCAAAACCTCTTATTTCTCGCTGGTAAAGTACTCAGCTCGGTGTTACTTTTCTTCATTTCCTTCAGCTGAAGGAAGTTAATTTGAAAGTATGCAGCTGTTTTATGCTTTGATATATGTTGCTTTTTGAAGAATTTGCATTATCCTGCGACTGTGTCATTTGTACATTGTTCTGCCTATCCTTGCCAAAGCAAGTCATATATAAGTGGATCGGTGGCTCACTTGATTTGGAAATCGGCTTTCAATTAGTGGATTGTTTGTTCAAATACGAGGTAACATCAGACTCCACACAACATGTTCGACTTATTGCCTACAAGTGGACAAGATTTCTGAGTGCGTTTTGTTTAAATCGTAGTCATTTCTAATCAATTACCATTAAGCGTTCACTATCAAATAATGAAAACTATTACTTAGTAAGACGGATATCTTGTTTTTATAAAAATCTAAGTCATTAAGTTATATTTACGTTATTTTTAGAGAATAAGATTTGCACTTACAGATCCCTCGTATGCAGTATAGGGTGCACTAATATCTTGTTCAGTGAATATTATGTAGAAATGCTTGGATTCCACGTTGGTAACTAAAAGAAACTGTACATTTTCTCCAAACCATAATTTTGAGTACGAATTTGATCGCCAACCTTCAGAAAAACTGTTCTTTTCACTAGATTTTGATTGTTTTGAAGTAAAATAGAAGTAATTCTCCTGTTTTTGATATTGATATTCATGTGCAGTCGTTTTATAGGCACTATATAACTGACATTTAGGACCAAATCCGTAAATATGAGGCCCAGAAAGCTGAGAAGTAGTTTTGTGTTGAGGGTTTGCAACAACCAAACTGTAGCCTGTCTCAACTAAATCAAAAAATGTTTATGATATTAGCTTCACTTTTTAACAAATAAAGTAGGCATATTACATTCATGTTTTAATGACAAAAGCAGATAAAATTTTACTGACTTCAAAGAAATGGAATAAAATGATGAATTCACTCTTGGAAATAATGCATATCCTAGCAAATTCTGAGTTTTATATGTCTGCAAAACTAATGAATACTAGTACAGCTATGAAGTTTTGTAAATTTGAAGGTAACGTTCAACATAAAACTAGGTCAAGGACTGAGTTCAGTTAATCACCTTGTGGAAGTTGTTACCACTAGGAACAAAACATAAACTTGTCTAGACTTGGTAACATGTTAATATTATGTTAATGAAGGCGATACTCCCTGCACTTCTCAACTTTAATTTCTGATGAATAATCTGGTTGCATCTGGTGTGACCATGACAGATGATTTCATCAACATTCCCTTCTTTACCCTGCTTAGCTAACTAAAATTCCCAATAAGGTTGCTATGATTTGCAAACCACCTTTTATCAGGTAGAAGAATGCAAATAATTAGCTTGAAGTAACAAATATAAGGACATAAAACCTTTCTCAACAACTAACTAGTCTCAAAACAAAGATCTAGAAGTAACTGGACACTGATTTTCTGTCGTCATAATCACTTAAGTGATTTATGTAATCAACAGTCAAAATGAACTGAAACTTTTATTCAATAGATGGTTTATAAGAATCTAGCGGTTCTCATCATGGTTTGAAATCAGTCGGAGAAACACTGAGAAACTGGGAGCAGTAGACATATATTTAGTCCTCTTTTGAGACATTTAAGTATAACGATCAATGAATTAACAGTAAATTAGGTCCAGCGCCATCAGTTCTCTTGGTTAGCTTCTGATCATTCAGACACTAGTTTTAATTAAATGGTTCACATAACCCTACTTCTGTCAACTGGTAATGTAGAGCTATGGTGTTTGAAAGAATAAGGGCAAACATTGAAACCAAAGTAACATCTATCCATTTTATTTCGTCGGTTCCCATCACTTACTAACAAATTTCATCCAATAAAGAGAAATCAGTTTGCACGTAAGGCAAAAAATAAAAATGACATAGTGAAGTTACCTATCCAAACAACGACGTTATGTTATGGTGCTATTAGTTTTTATGCCATGGTAATAAAATCCCTTGTGAAAACGTTTGTCAAATAAGCAAGATTAATGTTTTAGAAGGGAACTTTTCAAGTAAGCTGACGAGCAGATAGGTTATTGCTGGTGAAAAATGCAAAATATAATGAGTAGAACTCAGCTTATTACAATTTCAGTCCTGTATGCGAATTTCTTGAAAATAGGATGGTATGATTGAATAAGTCATGTCACAAAATGAGATTTTAACATTGTTTTTATCTTTATCTCGCTACACGCTTCCGATCCAGTCACAGATTTTTGTTGACTGAAATAATAACAAGGTAACTGATGGAAACTGACGACGAAAACTAGACCAATTTTACCCCATTTTACTTCTTGATCCTAATTTCCTTACATTCATAAATATAATTAGTATTTCAAATCATCTCAGTCTTATAGACAAACAGCTGATTAAATGTAGTAACGTTTTGAAAATAGACTATTTCTATCTCATGGTAATGGTTGGATTTTGGCTAGTACAGGGATCTAGGAAGCCCTCTTCGTGTTACTTGAAACTCTTTGGATGTATCTACCTCCAAGTGGGTTATATTGTTTAAACTAAAACTCTAACCTGAGACCGATCGAGCTAAACGCCATAGCTCTTTCCACCAGGCCACCGAGTCACGATAGCTACTACTCGAACATTGAACATACTTTTTGCGTTTTTGCTTGTATTATCCCGTTGTTGGTTGGATTGAATCAATTGGCCACTGTTGGCATGAAGGCTGTTGCTCAGAAGCCTTAATATCGCCTGCAGTCTCAGTTTTAGTAGTAATGCTATGTAACGGTTATTAATGGAATCCAGAATGCGGGTTTCGACTTGTTTAGGACTTGTTGGCTGGATGTATCTGCTTGGAGCGATTACTTCTGGGTTTGGGTCACATTGTGAACAGCATTGCCAACTGGGAGGTAGGTGACGAGCCTCAAGTAGGACTAAAGGCGTGTCCTGGGTCCCACTACTAGCCACCGTCCATCGTTACAAGCAAACTGGAACTACAGACAATACTGAGGCATCTATAGAGTAGCCCATATGCTAATAGTGACCGATCAGTTCACTTCATTCAAAGATGGGATGATACAAACAGCAACATGTAGACTGTTTCTTCCTGAAGATACGGAGTTGGCACGATCATTTTGTCAACGTGCAGCTGAAATTTAACTGACAAATAATTTCTTCCTGGCATAAAAGAAAGTTGTTAATTTGGTAGCCATAAAGACGTACAAGTAAAACATTCTATTCAGACACACTTAACATAAATTCTTCGCGTACTAATTTACAGTCTCATTTAAGAGTGTATTATTTTTCAACCAAATAACAGCTTCCAAATTTTAAAAGGGGATGTAACGGCATACTGATTCAAAAATATTTCGTATTGGAAGGACATGATAATTTAAACTATGTAGTAAATCAAATAAGTAACTCTTGTTCCTGATATAAAAAACGAGAATAAAAGCTCACGATAGTGAGTAAATTTATCTGTAGTCACTTATGCTAAATTCAAGACGCAGCAAAAATTTGATGGTAAAAAGAAAAGCTTGTTAACTTTGATTTTTTTTCGCATACCTTTACTTTCGAGTGAAACGAAGCTTTTTATAAAAATTTAAGTTCTCAAGTCTAACTAACTGGTCTAAATAAGTAGGCAGTAAAATATATGAAACATTATTTAAGTTGTTTGTAATTAATATACTGTGAATATATATATATATATATACCAGTCCGACAGATATTTCTTTCACCCGTAAGTTGGCTAAATAATAAGAGGTGTTTTATGTTCTGATTGACTTTAGCATGAGAAAAATTTATTGACCATTCGAAATGTCTACCACACAGAGATCAAAAATCGCCTGTAATGAAGTGCTTGTAAACAGGTCCGTCTAAGCCAACTAACCATATTCAGTTAGTCTAAATAATTCTGCTCTTTGAGGTGAAACAGTCATATTAGCCTGAGTAGTAAACTGTACGTGTTGTTAAGTTAAATATTTCATAAGTACTTAGGTCGCAGTTTAGTGGTATTAACATTTTAGTATACATATGCATATAAGTATATGAGAATATATGAATAAACTTGACAGTGTCAAGCAGCTAATAAGTATAGCTCTGATACCTAACTTCATTCAGTTATTCAGTGCAATAACAAATGTATTTAAAAGAAAATAGGTGAAGTGAATTGTATAACAGTTGTAATTTTATTTCAGTCGTCTAGCGTTTGATGTAGCCCAACAGTATGGAATGTTTGTACTTATGAAAAATGAAGAAAGCAGTATACGGTAGGAATGATTTATTTCTTCATTTTTTCAAATTATATGCTTAGATTGTCTGATTCTAGCATTCAGTCAAAAAATTATCAACGGCTGAAGTGTGAATATGGTATCGTCGAGTAGCTAGACATCAACAAAAACTTTAAACCGAACCAGTATTGTTATATGACTTAAAAATATCATCTTCTTTGCTAAGAAAATCACCTGAAAACGTTGGTCATTAACACTTTTTCTACTTCTAATTATAAATTTTGATTTTAACTTCATGATGAACACTGTAGTTATAGTTTGATTGAAAGTATTGTTATGAAACAGTATCATCTTGAAGACAGATACTGTATTATTCACACCCTAATTTATAAATGTTTCTTCCCTTACTATTTGTGTATACTTAGAATTTCATTTTAGTAAGTGAATTGAGTCGACTGACCTCTTTTGCCGAGTGCTTTTTTAAGCGATACCTTGACACCACCTGAATATGCATTATATTGCAGCATACAGGGTGGTGGTTGGCAGTGGAATCCAGGACGCGCTTTTCATTCCATTCGGAACTCAGCACTTCAGTGTGCTTGGACTTTAGTGAGTGACGGTGTTCTCACACAGACTGAAACTCTACATTCATTACATGTCTCATTTTCAAGGGCCAACAAATAATTATTAACTGCGAGCCGTTGCAAAAGAGGTGACTCACGTGCCTCAATGACAAGTGGATAATCCTTTGGCTTTTGAAGCAATGTGTTACGGTTTGAGTACTCAGAGAGGAAATCATAACTCATTGGGAGACGAGTATTTTTCCCCATCTCTGTTGAACAAAAAAATTAATCATGGCTGAACGCACTGGATGGTATCTACATTAGTCTGGATTGGTTTCATTTACTATTTTAAATAGATGGAAAATTGAGAAATACGTGGAATTTATACTTTAATTTTCGTGTTATAAAAGATTAGATTACACTTGTGAGATGAAATTGCCACTTTTGCTATTCTCTATGTTCATAATAAATAACAAGTACAACACTTAACCGAACAAGTTGATCTCTTCAGGCATGAATAAAAATTTCACGTTTACAGTTTTCACCCCTTAGTCTATTCATTTTTGTCAAATCGTATACTACAATACAGACGGATAAAATACTATTAAAATAAAATGGTAAATAAATAAAAATAATTTAGATTGATTTACTATTGTTAACGAATAAAGGAAAACAGGTTTACACTTCGTCTTCATCTTTTTTAAAAGAAATCCGACTATAAAAAACGAACCAGTAAAATGTTTCACACATCATTATATCTATCATTTGAAAACGCAAAAAAATAAAACAATTCAAATGTGAAGAGAATAGAATACTAAGTTTAAACTGAATAAAGTTTGACAACATTTAAACGACTTCTTTCACTATTTTATTTATCTTTCCAATCATAAGAATTTTTCACTTTCAGTTCACGAGATAAATACTTGTTAAATGAATCACTGGTAAGTTTCAGTCAATGAATAAAGAAATGAAATAAAATTAGTATTTTCATATTTAAATAAGAAGATATATATCAATTGTCAACTATCTTTATTAAAAACTGCG